AAGCATCCTTCGGGCAGGCCCGATTGAGATCGGTATAATCAACACACATTCGCCATTTTCCATTATTCTTTTTGACAAGTACAACATTTGACTGCCAGGTGGAATACCGGGCTTCAGAAATAAAATTTGCCTCTAAGAGGTCTTTTACAGCTTTTTCAGCAGCCTCCGTTTTTTCTGGAGACTGCCTACGCCTACGTTGTACTACTGCCTTGGCGGCTGGATCAATGGCGAGGTGATGACAGGCGACCTCAGGGTCGAGTCCGGGCATCTCCGCAGCGCTCCAGGCGAAGAGATCAGCATTCTCGCGCAGACAGGCCTTGATTTGCTTCCTGGCCAAGTCGGGGAGGTCCTTGCCAATCTTCACTCCCTTGGTCGGGTCTGCTCCGAGGGGAACGAGTTCGAAATCACCGTCCGGAATAGGTCGGAGGGGGATTTGCTCGCTGCTGGCCGGTTCATCTTGGTCAAAACGGGCGTCGAGTGCAATGGAGTCGACCTTTGGGGGAGCCTTCTGAACTTCTACCTCAGGAGATGCTGTGTCGGGCTCTTGCTTCGTCTTCTTGATGGGCCTAGTGCTGGGACCTACGTCGACAGTATCCCGACCCCTTGAAGCGGCGTTGAAGCACCGGCGGGCAGCAGCGAGGTCGCCCTGGATGGTGGCTACCCTCCCCCTCTTGGTATAGAACTTCATCTTTAGGTGGACAGTTGATGGGACCGCTGTCAGTTCCGCCAATGTCGGCCTCCCCAGGATGCAATTGTACAGGGATGGGCAGTCAATGACGAGGAAGCGGACCTTCACCTGTCTTGTAGCAGTATCTTCCCCGAATGTCACGAGGAGCTCGACATATCCCCAAGGTTTGGATGTCGAGCCGTTGAAGCCTTGAAGGTCCGAACCTATATATGGAGACAGATGGGAGTCGTCCAGTTGTAAGGTCCGGAACAGCTGGGTGTACATCACGTCGACGGAACTCCCTTCGTCGACCAGAATGCGATGCACGTCAAAATTGGCCATCTTTGCCCTTATCAGCAAGGGGATGACTGCGTTCGGTGCTCCGCCGGGGAGCTCTTCCAAGTAGAATGTGATAGGCTCTGATCTGCCCCTCACCATTTCAAAAGTCACAGTTTGAGGAGGAGCTTTGTCGACCAGTTCGTCCAACTTCCTCTTGGCTGAATTGATGGTGAGGTCGCTGAACCCGCCCCCGTTGATGACCATGGCGGAGGGGAAGTATTCCCACCTGCTGTGTGTAGTCAGGGGCTCCTGCAGGAGCTCGGGAAGTTCGAAATCCTCGGGCCTGGTTATCGAGAAGGCGGTCTGGATTGGCACCGACTCGTCAGATGGTCGGGCATCTTCTTCGGGCTCCTTTGCCTCGCGGGCTTCACGACGGGGAGCGTCGTTTCTCCTGTACTGTGCAAGTCTCCCTCCTTTGATGAGGGTTTCAATAGCATCCTTCAGGTGGACGCAGTCCTCTGTCAAGTGACCATGACTCCTATGGTACTGACAGTATTTGTTTTTGTCTACTCCTGGCTTGGCAGGAGCTGGTCGGGGACGCTTGACGCCACCGTCTTTAAAATCTGTGCTCGCACACTCCGCCAGAATACGCTCGCGGGAAGCCGTGAGCGGAGTGTACTCAGTAAACCTGCCCGAGGGGCCCCTTTGTTCCCGGACCTCCCGGGGTCTGTCTTCCTTCCTCTTCTCTCCGGTGCGTCGGGGAGGAGGGTCTTGTCTCGAGCTGCTTCCATGGTTGCGGGCCCTGGAATCCCGTGCCCTGTTGGCAGCTTCTCTCTCCTCGTAATCCATATATGCTCGAGCTTTGTCGAGGAGAGCGTCAAAAGTTGCAGGTGGCTCAATGCCCACAGCTTTCCTGAATTCTGTGCCGGGGAGGAGGCCCCTCTCCAGCAAATACCTCTTCATGTGGTCCGCGCAGGGGACCTGTATTGCTTCCCGGTTGAAGCGGTTGATGAATTCCCTCAAGGTCTCATCATGTCTTTGAATGATGGCCTCGAGGGCTGCCTCAGTCTTTGGGTGGCGACGAGACGCTGTGAAGGAACTGATGAACTGGTTTTTCAAGTTCCGCCACGAGGTGATGGAGCCCGGGGCAAGTCCCTTGTACCAGTCCATGGCCGCCTTCCTGAGAGTTGTTGGGAAGAGACGGCACTTGATGGGCCCCCCGACGTTGTGATAGTGGAGCATGGCCTCGAACCCGTCAATGTGGTCGACTGGGTCTGCCACTCCATCATACTCTTTTAGGTGTGGGGGCTTCTCCATGCCCGGGGGAATAGGTGCGTCCATGATGGCCTGCGACAGGGGACCGCGGGGGTCGTCCTCGTCGCTCCTTTCTGGAGAAAGAGAAAGGGTCTTGTAGTTGTGTCGGGCACGTTGCTCGTGCTGGGATTCCCTTGAACGTGATGTTCGGTGGGCGAAGGTCACATGTCCGTCTCTGTTGTGCCTCCGTTCGTGCCTTGATGGGTCGCGAACGGGCTCTTCGGCAGGGATGACGGGCTGTCTTTCGTACTGGGGCCGCCTCTGCCTTGGTGCGGGAGAGGGGCTCCTAGAGATTTCCCTGTAATGTCTCCGCGGGGGAGTAGGGTGTCGAACTTCTTCGACCCGAGGAAGTGGAGACGGTGGCCTTTGATGTCTCCTCGGGGGGCGTCGATCATTTTCCAGTGCCCTAAGTCTTTCTCCTTGTGCGAACAGGAGATAGTTCGTCTGGTTGATGGCCGCGAACAGTGCCTGAGCCGTGGCATCTGCCCCGGCAGGGGCTTGGACTTCATAGAACCGGGCAGCCTGGCGATAGGCGAGAGCCTCCGGATCGTCTTCGAGTCTTGGGGGAGTTGTCGAGGAGGACGCAGTGTTCCCGTCCCTGCGGGTGGAAGGTCCAGGGGCGGTTGTCAGGGGGGCGGCATTGTGGCCGGCACCACTGGGATTGTCCAGGTGCCCATTCTTGTCCGCGGGACCGTTGTTGGCGTCGAGGACGCGAGTGTGTTGTTCTTCACGAGTTGGAGAGGCCATGACAGTGAATGGATTGAGCTTTGGTCTTTGAAACTGTTCGTTAGACGGGGAAGCTGTTTCCCACAGACGGCGCCACTGATCTGACCTGATCAGAAGGTTTGGACCGTCACGGCTGCTCCGAGCTGAAGGCTTTTTGAACGAGGAGGGGGGGGGGTACCTGCAAGGCACTCCGATGCTTAAGTCAGTGGGAGTACTAGCAGATAATAGAGTTGAGGTTAGAATGATGATTACCTGACCCTCTGGAAACAGAGGGTATTTATAGCCCCCAGCGCTGGGCCAAGGTTCCTTCATTGGGCCGGGCGGATTTGGCCCAATGGAGGAACTGCCAGGTTCTACGTGGGTAGTGGGGATCAGCACGTGGTCCCCTTCCTGGAGGTGCTGCGTGAAGTGCGGGCGGACAGAGACGCGGTCTTTACGGAGTATCGTTGGGGCAATGGTGACTGAGTCTGCCCTAGCAAGGTAGCTCGAGTCCACGTCGAGCAGTGCAGCATGGTGTCGAGCTCGACGCCAAGACCCCGAGCTGGACAGCGAATGTCGAGCTGGAAGCCAGGGCATAGAGCTGGACGGCAGTCTGTCGAGCGTGACTTCGTCGCGTGGGCTGGACACTGAGATGTCGAGGTGGACATCAGGGTGTCGGGCATGGACGTTGTGGTCCTTAGTGAGTCCCATTGGATTGGGCCTTTGCCCATTGTGGTCCTTAGTGAGTCCCATTGGACTGGGCCTTAGCAATGCTTTTGGGCCTGTCGGGCCCAGTCCAGAACATTAGTCATGAAGTCTCGTAACTTAATTTCAGATTTCAGTTTGGTCTCTTGTGTAATAAACATTACAAATAAGTTCCTTAATAATACTTCAGTTCACTAACTTGGTTCATTCTATTAATTTGGTTGTGAAAACGTTAAGTTGGCTGATTGGCATGACAGTAAGAATTAAAAACAAGTATTTTATTTAAATTGCGGGGGTTTTGTTTTCATAGGTTAAAAACCCCGTAAATTGTTTAAAATGTGTAAAAAATATATATCATTCCCAAATCCACCCTAAAACATTATTAACTACACATCAAATTTACACGGTATATAGAAACAAGATTCTCCAGCATCATCAAAATTATATTCCTCCCAGATAATTACAACAAATACATTCTCAAAATTATATTCCTCCCATATAAAGCAAAGTTTAGCTGATATAACAAAAATGCATTCTCCCACTATTTCTACTCAGCCAATAGATATATAAATTAGAATGAGTATTCACTTGAAGATTGGAAACCAGTGGCTAAGGTAACAAACAAACAATGCCTTCCGCCAGTTCTCATACATCACATTCTTATAACTTGACTGAAACGATACAATGAACCCTTCTTCAAACTAGTATACTCATTGATACATTATGATAATCATGGAAGTTCAAAGAACACAAGCATGAAAAATCCCAAAGTGCATATTTTGAAATTTATTTTCAGAGATCTCCTCCCAATTTGATTGGGCGAGTGCTCCTTAAAACCACAAACATGCCGGTATAACATTACAACCATCAAAACTACAAAATGTGTCCCTGTGTATGCTCAGCAAGACAATATTCAGAATTTCTAAACCATACTAATTTCATATAATCAATGATCAAACAACCATTAGAATTTCATATCAAATAATCATAATACATTCATCAATAATCAGCAGTTGTTAAATCGAATGACCATGAGATAACAGCAAAATCACTAAAAAAAAAAAAGTAAACAGAGAACATGTAACAGATTAGCCATAAAATTATCTCTAAATAAGATAACCCTAATTGATTGATTTAATAGAGAACATATCCAAAACATGTACTAGATTAGCAAAAAAAATTACCCCCAAGTAAGATAGCCCTAATTGATTGATTTCTTAAATGTCGCCAATGTAATCCTAGCTTGATCCTTAATCAGCTGCCCGCGAGCCACCAACACTTTCATCTCCGCAATTTGAACTTCCTCCATTTCTCATCAAACTCCTCTACCTTAGATTCTGCCATCAAATTCATTCCCCTTTTCATGTCTTCCACGTAGATCTACACGACAAAAGCATCCGATTTCGTACAACGAGAATGTAAGTGACGATGACGATGAGGGTAAGGTGAAGGGTGTGCGATTTTGATTTTGCGGTTTCTCTAACCTTTTCCTTCCTCTGTTGTTATCTTGTTGTTGCTCCTTTCTCTGTGTGTTGTTGATAAAAGGATGAAGAAAGAGAGAGGAAGAAGAGAGTAAGAGAGTTGCGGCTAGGATACAAAATTCATTTCAGATTTTTTTTTTTAATTTTTAATTTTAAATAAATTTAAAATAAAATAATTTTATGTCATCAAATCTAGAACGAGTTGATATGCCACACAAACACAAGTTAATAGAATTTAACAAATTTTAATAGATAGGACTATTACAACTAACGAAATGATATTTAAGGGACTTAAAATGAATATTTATTAAATAAGGGATCAAAGTAAAACCTTAAATTAAGTTAAGGGACTAAAGAATGCATTAAGCCTAAATTTTAACTATGTTTTATAATATGTGTGTTTTTATTTGTTTTTAGGAGAAAGGTCCGAAAAAAGAGTTGAAACAGGATATGGGTTGAAGCTTGCTCTGAAGGTTTCTATTGGTCTCCCACCAGAGATGGAGGGTTGAATGTCTAGGTCTGGTTTATCTTCGCTTAAGAGAACCAGTTTGTCAAAGATAGACTCAAACCTGATATACGCATGTGTAGAGAGATGGCATCTAGAGACATCTTAATTTCACATGCCATTTGGTGAGAAGACTATTACTCTTGACAACGTCGCTTGTCTGCTTCACCTACCCATGAAAAGCATGTTTTGGAACCCTGAACATGTCATTGAAGAAGTTGTTGTTAAATTTGATGTTGACTAATTATAAGTGTCAAAGAGCGTTGAAATATGACAGGTACGAGCATGTAGGGGTGCTTATTATAAGTTGGACTGGTTATACAAATTATTCGTAGAACATCGAGCTGCTTTTATATGGGCATATGCGACCAGAGCTTATATGTTGATGTTGGTATGCTACATCATTTTTGCCAACAAGACTTTTACGCCTGTCGAGACAAAGTATAATGGGATTTAGATAGACTTGAGGGTTATAGTTGGAGTGCAGCTGCTTTGGTTACACTTTACAGCTCTCTTAGAGATGCATCCATGTTCAGTTGCAAGTATCTTACTGGATATCCTACTCTACTACAGATATTTATTAAGTGTAGTTTATTTTAATGAAATTTATTTATTATAATTTAGTTTTTTTAATTTTTTTTATTAATCATATTAATTTTGGAACAGTGTTGGATTCATGAGTATTTTCTAACACTTGAAAAAAAATGAGAGAATTCGAAGTCATCTGAAAATTATGGACTTCCTAGAGCTATGAGATAGTCGTACAAGCAAGGAGTTCTGAAAGTGGGTGAGTTTAGACCTATTTTTGACCAACTGACACTTGCAGATGTCATATGGCATCCATTCAACATATGACATTGGCCAGCCATCTTCACTATATGACATGTCCAATTCTCGACGAACCATTGGCCAGACATCTTCACTATATTCATGCAATGATGCAATGACTCTAAATCTGTAATTACCATCTTATTCAACATTAATTACCTCTTCAATATATGGCCTAATATGATTAGAAAATTGAAGAGTAAACCGATGCAACATTAACTACTTCTTTTATTGTGACTGCTTCTTTGAAGTATGTGATGGTTGAGATTGCTTTTGTGAAGATTAAGATGCTCGATCAACATACTAATGATATGAAGGATTCCTATAAACATCATATCCTATCGGTGAGGCCCTTTTCTTCTTCACTCTTCATTTGGTTTTTGTTTTCTCAGGTGGTGGACACATTGAAGTCGTTGTGGGGTAAGCAAGTTCACAAACCCTGCTTTTTAATGCTCTTTTCCCAACAATATTTAGTGATATAAACCTTATCCACAATTCATATATCCCCTTACTTATTTCCACCTCTGATCCATCATTTACATCTACCTGCAACTTAACTTCCATACTTAGTTTCCTTCGTTGAACATGAACAATGTCGTGGTGTTACCCAAATGAAGCACACGATTAATCCATGCTCCAATAAATCGATAAATAAAACGAAGAAAAACCTTAATACCGTATTCCAACTCACAACATCTATTGCTCCTCCTGATTATCTACACCACATCGTACAAAACACCGCAACAAACAAAAGAAATTAGTGAGAATACGCTCAAATATATTAGCGGTGCAAAACACGGAAAGGGCAACATGTTCAACATAATCATCAATCACACATTTTATTCACAACAATAAAATAATCACAGTGCATTCATGTATGATGTGTGAACAATATATCGACTCAATGCATGTGGTACCATTTTGTGGACATTAGAGTTATCTTACTAATATTCATCCACTCATTGCGGCCCTCTTCGAACACGATTCCTCTTCAAATCCAAACTCACCATTGACCGCCTCTTCTAAACAAGCGACTCGTCACTTTTAAACACTGACACATATGATGCATGACATATAACGACAACATATATGTGCAACTATGCCACCAGTTCAAATTCAAACCATACATAACAACACATAAGGCAATCACAATAGTTCTCACTTCGAACTACACATCTCAACATCGACAACATATATAATTCTAAATAATCATATAATTGTACACATATTTCAACAACATATGTTCATACATTGAATAAATTATTCAAATTATGCTTAAGGCATATCAATTTTATTCAACATCTCACCAAACACGACAAAACACCAACAAACAGTCGTTGGAATCAGAGACATCCGACGAATCGAGTCGAAAATAGAAACTCCACACTATCATGAGTAAATCATGATATTCACGACTTCATACACACATTTAATCTCTTTGGACATTACCATAAGGTAGTTATATGCGTTAGCTTCCTAACGCTTCAAATTGCACCTCAATCGGAGTCAAGGAACTCAAGTTACATGATTTTCAATTATGCAATTTCTCACCCAAATAGCCGGTAACCGGTTACACTCAGTGTGTAACCGGTTACAGGCACGAAAAACAACCCAGAAATCCATTTTTCTCATAGGTATCTGGTTACCAACTGCTAATAACCGATTACCACTGTGCTCAGAGTCCAATTTCACCATAGGAGGACTTCTGAACCTCCAATTTTGATTATGTAAAAACCCAAACACTCAGAATTCGACATATAGTAATTATATAAAATTATAATAACAAACAACACATATATATTATAAATCCTAATATTATTTAATCATCAATTTATCCCAAATTTAAGAACATGTTTATATAAAAAAACCATGAACATAAACATCCAATCTTATATTTGCACATACACATCATACACTAAATTTATCAATAAAATAAAGCACGAGTTTCATAACAATCACAACCATTATCACATATTTCACACAACCTTCTCCAAAACACATAAGCTTCATCAATGGTGAAAAAGATGAGAAAATTTAGAGGAGGGTGAGGATCCATCTCTACCCTTCATGCATTTGACATCAATATTAGAGTAATTCCCTTAATTTTTCAGAAAAGGATCCAAACTTTGGTCATGGCTTCTTCCCCTCTCTTAAACCCTTGTTTTGCTTCTTCTCACAATTATCTCTTTCTCCTAATTTCTCAGTTTCACGTACGGTCAAAAATAGCTCCACTAATTTCTTATTGATAATAACCTAATATTCTTATTTTAATTAATTGCACTCTTCCCCCAACTTATCTATATTTTCACCACTTTTCCTTATTTCCTAATAATTCTAATTTCCATCCAAACCTCATAAATCCTATTTTTCTATTATTTTAATCAATTAAAATTAACTAAAATTCAAAATAATTCTCAGCACTCCCATAAATCCCACCAAAATATCCAAGCACGTCAATAATTAAATATCCAAGCACACCCATAATTAAATAAATTCCACCAAAATATCCAAGCACGCTAATAATTAAAACAACTTCTTCTTCTACCGGTGCGCTCGCACGGTTCGCGCAATATCGTGTATAGAGTGAGTTGCATAGACATATAATTATATCAACAATTGGCATTTTCCCGTTTATAAAAGGTGTAATGTCTGCAAATCCACCTCATCCTGCACTCATAATTTTGTAGAGTGGGGCAATATTTTAGAACCCGTGTGTCAATTTATAAAAATGATTTAATATTATTAAAATATTTGTTTTAATAGCCTGATTGGGATATTAAAAAAAAGTTTATGATTCTGTATTAATGATTTAAAAATTATTATTGTTCATTATTAATCATGTATCATATTGATAAAATTGTAATAATTTTTCATTATGGGGGTGTTTGTTTCAAGTTTAGAAATTATATTCATGAGAATATATGGGTGGGAATGATTAAGTAGTGTAGATTTGTCAAAAATATATATATTTTAGTGAAAAAATAAAGAAACTAACTAAGTTTTCATCTACCCGTGTGTTCGTACGGGTCACACAATGTCATTAAAAATAGTAAATAAATATAATATAATGATGATTAAAAATATATATAAAATATAAAAAAGAATAACAAATTTATATTTTCATAAGAAATTTGCGTATTCACCAATCATAATTGTCTCATATTTTTTTATAAAAATAAATATTTATATTATGTTTAGTATAAAAATGTTAACATTTTATCATAAAAGTTGCACAAATTTATATGATATGATATTATAATAATAACACAAACACAAATTTAAGAAATACAATATTTGATGTCATCTAAAGTTTAGAAAGATTCGATTAACCTTCCAATTGAATCAATAGCCCTCCTATGCACATTCAAAATATATTAAAAGTATATTTGAGATTTAGAATTTTAAGGCGATTTGCGATTGTTCAAAATAAAAAATTTATTTTAAATTGTTTGATTTTTTTCCTTTGTTTTTACTGTATGTTTGATATTTAAAAATTATTAAAAATATTTATATTTTTTGTATTTCAATTAAGTTTTATAATAATTAAAATAAAAGTACAAAATTTAAAACCACATGTACAATAGTGATTTGTTCCAATCTATTATAATTATCTTATATTAATATTTTTATTAGATTTTGAATCTGTTATAATTATTTTATATTTTAACTTTATTAGACTCTGAATCTGTATAGATTATTATCGCCACAAATTTCAAATCTCAACTTATACAATTATTCATCTTTTATTGCCATAGACATAGAGTTAATTATAATTTAATTTATTAATAAAAAAATATTTATAATTTATTCCTCTTTATAAAAATAGTATAGTTATAATTTAGAATGGAGAATACAATTTTAAAATATGTACTTTCTTTTCTTATTATAAATACCAATAATCTTTTTCACATATCTAAAAAAATATCAATAAATTTAATATATCCATTTTAAATCTTGATAAAACTAAAATATTTGTAAGACAAACAAAATACTGAAAAATATATAAATTATTTTAAATCAATTTTGTAATGAATTAAAAAAAATGGATTAAAATAATCTAAATATATATTTATAGCAATCCTGGGGGTTGAATAATATACTAATTGATAGTGTCCTTAACCCATTTATTAAAATAATGTGTAGTATTATTATAAATGTTTTAAAATTTGAAAAATATATTTTATTTATGTAAATATAATTTTTTAATAAATTTTTACTAATAATTAGAAATATTATTAGTATTAAAAACTAAAATTAAAAAATATAAATTTAAGTGCAATAAGAATAACATTAAGAAATAAATGTGCACAATTTTCAATTTAAAAAATTCCTAAATTAAATATTAATAATTATACTAATTTATTATTACTATTAATAATAATAATATATTATTACTATTATTAAATAATAATAAAATAATAGTAATAAATGATAATACTAATTATTATTATTATTATTATTATTATTATTATTATTATTATTATTATTATTAAATAATAATAAGAAATAATAGTAATAAATTTTATTTTGAGTAATCCACCAAATAAATTCTGACTTAATATTAACAAATTAAATGACACGGTTATAGTTATGTAACAACGGTCACATATCGAAGGATGAATGTAATGGTGTAGAACAACCTTCTTTTTCTTTAGAAATGTGATAGCAATGACCGATTTGATAATTTTACATTAATTCAAGTAAGTGTATAAATGAATCAACAAATAGAAAACAGATAAAAAAAGTACATGAATGAAAATAAATAAAATATTATATTTATAATATTTCATTTATTAAATATTGAGATATTCGACATTACCATAAATGCATAATGAAACATTCACCACCATGTGTGCCATAAACAGCCAACTTGGTAAGGTTGGACCTTGCACAATTGTGGAATTTAATATTAAATTCATTCAGAATTTGTTTTTTTATCAACTTTCACCCAAGAATAATTGTAGGATGGTGAAGTGAATGCAGATTTAGCATGTATGAATTTCAAACTATTAATTTTTTTACTTTTATGAATACAATTTGAATTGCATCAAATATGACAAATCGGTTCAAGACATGATACTGAAAGCAA